GCACTGGATGGTCTTGAACAGAAGGAGACAATGTGCTGCCCTCCAGATACTGTTGGAGTCCAGCTCTCATAATCTCTGGCTATTGACCATGTTAGCTGGGGTTGCTGAGAATTGGAGTCCAAAAATTTCTGGAGGTCACCACACTGAAGTTCTTGAGGGATGATAGGTCTTAAGGGATGCTTGGAGTAAGCAAAAAACACAGGAACATACATTTAATTAGTCCATCAGATACATCAAAAGTGGGAAATATCAGTTGGAACATACTAAGATTGCAATTTCTAAGACAAGTTTTTCCTCTTTCTTCCTCCTCTGTCAGAATCCAACTAAATCTGTAAGATACTTTTTCATGCCCTACCTATCCATCATAACAAAAGTCTAACAAGAGCTAGTACAGCATTAGCTAATAGGTAAGAGGTTTAGCAATGAATCAGTAGCAGTTCCTTGGTCTCACCCCAAGTCATGCTAGGGGACCTTAGGAAAGCCACTCTTCCTCTGCTCCCCAACTCTAAGAAGGGGATTATTTACGCATTTGCTTTTTTTAGTAGTTCTATGTTGACTTCAGCTGTTCATTGCCTACTACTATTAAGATGCCCCTTTTACTCTCAGCGCCTCTCAGCAGCACCAGTTCATCACCTATTCACATGGGATAATGAAAGATAAAACCAGTTTTCCAAGTTCCCAACTTGGCAACCCTATGTGGTGCTGAAGTTACCTGGCTCTTCCTGGAGTTCACGAAACAAAACCACCAACGACAACAAGGAACCCACAAGAGAAAGGAAAGAGATTCTGCAAACCTGGATTATGTAACTTTGAAAGAAAAATTTGCCAAAATATACTGCTTATATTTTGTGTTTGCCTCTAACTTTGGGCTGCCTTAAATTGGTGAATCTAGCATCTCAGAAAGATCAGACACTCATTTTGCAAAGTTCATTGAAGCTGAAGAATACAGAAGGCACAAAAATGGAACAGAAGAAGTAAGTGCAAGGAAAGATTCAAAAGTGCACTGCCTATCACTCCTTGGTCTTCAAAATTTCATTGACACCAATGCTCTTTGTACTCTATTGCAAATGCCAAAGTTGCTGCTTTGATCCCACACTGGCCAAGACAACATGGTCACAGAAAGACTTCTAAAAATGAAATCTCCAGAACAAATCAGGTGAAACTTCCTTCCAATGTTTCATTTTTATAAAGTGTGATGTTAAAATGTTCCTGACTAACAATTAGTTGACTTTTAAAAATATAGCAGCTGTAATTTTCTTCTACTACTATGTTCATTTTTTCCTAATTCTAATGAAATCTGTACATTTTGCATCCCTCCACCCCGACCCATAGCAACACACAAGAGAATTAAAATAAGCCACAGCATGCAATTCCTCTGGCACCCCTGGTTTTTCCTTTTTGCTGCACTAGCAAGGTTTCCGCAGGTCAAGACAACATGGAAATCTTGCTCTAAGGGTGCTTTGAGACTGTTGCTATTTTCAATCACATACTGGCAAATTCAGGTTGCACAATTAAAGTTGATTTGAAGGCCGTGCACTACAAGCCTATTTCCCCCAAAGATCCTGTGTGTGTGTGTGTGTGTGTGTGTGTGTGTACGATAAGGAAAGCGATAGGAAAATGAAATGGAAAATGTGGGTTAACACTTGCCTGGTGCCGTATCATGCAAACAAAGAAGAATGAATGCTCAATAAATAGCTAGTGTTGTCTAACCTCCGTTCAAACAAATCAGGATGAATGCCCAGTAAGAAGATCATCTGGATGTGACCTGAATCTTAATAGCTGTGGCCACACTACAGCCAAGTATGTTTTTCAGATAACAGCATGGAAGCTTACGGGGTTATTGTTTCTCTCTTTCTTACTCAATCTTGGGCTGTTCTCATTTGACTTCTTGCTGCCTGTTTCTACCATTACTATTAATCTTCAAATTATCAAGAGAGAGTGAGAAATGAAAGACTGTTCTTTAAAGTCTTGCAAATTTAAAAGGGAGTTACAAAGCCCAGGTAGTAGAAGCAGCTACTATTTTAAAAATAGGTATTTAGATACATATGTACTTGTACACATTCATGAAATGTTTCATTGGATCATGGCCAGTATATTTTATTCCAAGATTGTGGTGGGTTGGTGATTCTTCATTCTTCTCTTCTTTGGAAAGGAGGTCCCTTTTAAACATGGGGCCACCTGGTGGATTTAGTAGGCAAGGCAGCAGACAGAAATCAGTCAAACACATATTGGCAAGGCAGCTATGGCCATGGCTCACCTCTCCAAAATGGGTTTGGGAGAACGTGATGCTAATGACCAATACCAAGATGAAAGTCGACCAGGTTTGCATGTTGAGCAGGATGCTTTATGTAAGCGAGTCGGGAACAACTTACACCTGCCAGGAGTGACACCTCAATGCCTGTGCTGTATCAGAAAGATTGTGGACATCACATGGCCAGATAAGAGTCTCATGCAAAGTTGTGCTGTCCTAAGCCCACATTCCCAGCAAGTTCACACTCCTGTCTTAGTGACATCTGCTCTGGTTTGGCCACATGCACAAAAAGGAAGATGGCAGGATCCCCAATGACCTGAGGGTAGCAGGATTCAGACACTAGGCTTGTTGGCAGACCAACACGGCATTACAAAGATGTCTACAAACGTGGCACGAAGGCTGGCGACTTTAACCCCACCGCAAGGGAATCCCTTGCAGATGATCACAGTGCCTGGAGACAGACAGTCAGGTTGTGTATCCACAGCAGTGACCAGAGGAGAAATGACCGCTGGGAGCAGCGCAGAGAGGAAGAAACGCCATGGCGCACCTGTAGCAGCAAAACTGGATGCCTTCATACGCCCCACCTGCAATAAAACATGTCTCTCCTGTATCATTCTCTACAGCCACAGCAGATGCTGTAACTCTCCTACTGTTTGACTTCACCCCGAAAGTGTGCTCTTCCACTGTCACCCGAGACAAACAGATGCCAACAACAGCAACAACCACCTCACAGGGTTGTTGTGGGGATTAATTCAGATGGGGGAAACCATGTATACCATCTTGAGCTCCTTGGAGAAATGAAAGCAACAAACAAACAAACAAACAAACAAATAAACTATATAGCTAACCTGACACAACAGCCACCACCCCAGACATACAACAAACCATACTGCAACTAATCAAGCACATCCAACCGAACCCTGGATCCTCCAATCTCTCACGACACCACTAAAAACAAATACAGTGGTACCTCGGGTTACAAACGCTTCAGGTTACAGACGCTTCAGGTTACAGACTCTGCTAACCCAGAAATAGTACCTCAGGTTAAGAACTTTACCTCAGGATGAGAACAGAAATCACGCGGCAGCAGCGGGAGGCCCCATTAGCTAAAGTGGTACCTCAGGTTAAGAACAGTTTCAGGTTAAGAACGGACCTCCAGAACGAATTAAGTTCTTAACCCGAGGTACCACTGTAACTATATAAACAAAGGACCTACACATGAGACATAGACAGGAAAATCCTGCACAAACACTATGCAGTATAATTAAAAGATCATCACCCCCAACCCTCTCCCTCCCTTTCTTTCTCCCCTTCCCCAAAGTCTATTGCAATAGTGTCTCATACGGAATGTAAACTGTTCAAAAAAGATTGTATGAATTAAAAGTGGAGACAGTATATGTACTTTTCCTTGTTTATTTAAAAAAACAAAACAAAACTATATGCTACTCCTCTAAACGTTTCACTGTCTTCCTCCTAACGTTTCAGGCAGCTGCGGCAGAAGATGATGCAGGCTTTTAACCTTTCAGTTTGTATCCCCTTTGCTATGTATCTGAGGACCACTTTATTTGTCACATTTTGTTTTCATACACAGAGCTATTCTCCACTGCCAACATCCTGTGAGCTTGCTGCACGCTATCGAGATACTACAAAGAGGTGGCTAGGTTTTGAATCTCGAAGGCAAGGACAGAGATCTGTGGGGGAAATGGGGAAGAAAGAATGACATAGCAAGGAGCAGGTTTTCCTGATGAAAAGCATCAAACCCAAAGATGCTGCTTTACACTTTAAATGTTTAATGGGCAGAAAAGGTCAGGAGTTGGTAATTACAGAAATAACCTAGAATTAATCAGATGCTGTCAGCAGAAGAGGTCAAGGGTGAAGGCAATGGAATTTTGAATGCTGGCCTTGTTAGGGATTGGGCTCTCACAGCATGTTTGCAAAGAAATCCTGTTGTTGACTACAGTTCACTTGATACAAAGAAGGTATCAGAGGTGAAAATCCAGCTTTGTATTCTGTGAATATTTGGCCAGCATAGCATGGTACTAAAGACACTGGGCCATAAGACCCCAAGTTCAAATGTCACCTCTGCCTTAGGCAAGTCAATCTTTCACCAATCACCAACCGATTGCCTCATATGCTACTATTGTTATTTTCATTTTGATTTACTAAGGTCTCAGGGCAAGCCACAACAATTTAAAATGCAACCTTAACAACAGTTAAAAACACAACAACAATTACAATGATTTTATTATATGAATGGGACGAGGATGGTGTTGATGATAATAATAATAATACTAGTTTGCTATAAGAATTAGTTAAATGTTACATGTCCATTAAGCACGATCACTTTTGCAAAATTTGTAATATATTGAACTTGGCACACTCTTCCCACACTGCATTTCTCGAAATTGATTGCTTTATTTCTGTATTTATTTGTTAAATTTATATGTTGCATCTTCCTCCAAAGGAGCCCAAGGCAGCAACCATGCCAATACTAAAACAATACAATTAAGACATCTAAAAAACAATGAGAGGTAATTAGGGGTTGAATAATGGCAAGATTTCTATTCTCTTTGTCCTAGCAAGATTTTGTGCTTACAAGCTCTTGCTTTATTCAGTTGTATCAGCAACTCTTTAAGGTAGTGTAGCTTTTTCAGCATAATCACAGTGTGTTTCATACAATCATAGAATTGTAGAGTTGAAAGGGACCACAGGAGTCACCTAGTCCACCCCCCGCAATGCAGGAATCTTTTGCCCAACATGGGGCTCAAACCCACAACCCTGAGATTGAGTCTCTTGCTCTACCAACTGAGCTATCCTAGCTTGATATAGGTGATATCCCATTTATATAAAATTCCAGAGTATGGTTCCTTTCTGAAATCATGGCATCATTTTCAGGGAGGGAGGGTTGAGGCTCGTTTCAGACCATTCCTCTGGGCAAATGCATAATTCTTGCAAACATTGCTTGAGAAAAGCTATGAGTGATAAAGGCCAGGACAAAGGTTCTCCCTTCAGTCAACTGCTGAAGGAAAGTATTTCAGTAACTATTTGAGTGAATGTCTTTCAGAACTCTCTTCTGGGTATAGCTGAGACAATGCAAACATTTGGTGAGGTCTCATTCCAAACCCTATTCTGCGGCACCTAATGTGAACTCAAGCTTCACGGCAGTTTGAATAATCCATAATAGCACAAGCAAACTTTAGATGGAAGGGGGGGACGACAGCATAGAATATCAGCCCCAGTTTGATTTCTGCTATGGGTCATAGATGTGATTCCACTCACTTCAAAGCAGGATCTTGACCATCATATATAATGAAACAAAGAAGCTTCTCGAAAAAAAATCTAATTAAATATGTGTCTGTGTTTGTACTGTGCTCAAAAAATCTCTCTGTTCTCTATCTGATGGTTAACGAAGATAAATATTAATTTTAAATCAATCAGTCTGCCACGTTCCTAAAAGAGGAGGCCAAGGAGAGCATCAGTGCTGGAAACCTGGATAGTGAGACTGGTCCATTTATTACCAGTATTTTGCCATTCACAGAAGACATTTCAGGAGAATGGCGCAGGAGAATTTAAAAATTCTGGAGAGACAAGCGATGGACCCACACAGATTTGTGGAAGGAAGCATGAGTCACTTGTCCCTAACCCTCCCAGCTGCTTGCTGAGAAGCAACAGGTTTGCCAGTAGTGGGACCACAGCAGCTGCTGTGGATCCTGCAGAAAGAGAAGGAAAAGCTTGGCAAGCGCATTCTTCCCTTGCTTTGGGGGTCACAGCCTGACGCTGCAAATGCAATGTGTTAAGTCATGGGTCAGGCAATATAGCACCAACGCACTGCTTCCCACACCGGGAAAGTGCAGTGTCACTCACAGCAGTGATGGAGCATATGCAGGATATCCCAGGTGTGGGATAGCCGCTCGGATGCCCGGAGCAGTGCGTGCGCCCTGCAGACGGGGGTGGAGCGAGCCACCCATGGGGGCAGAGCGAGCTGCCCATGGTATATATTTGGCGCGCCGTGGGGCCTGCAACTCCCAAGCCTCCCCCAAGCTGTCAAAACGAAGGAGGAAGGTGTGCAGCACCCCCTTACTCCAATGGCTTGGGATAGGCTTGGGAGTTGCGGCCGGCCAGCGCACTGAATGTCACCCCCCTCAGTGAGGGCACCCTGGGCAGACCACCCCCACTGCCTCCCTTCCTGTGCCCCTGGCTCTCAGCAGCTCCCACATTAACGCAACTCCATGCCAGCATTGACTGAGTTTCTTTCCACTGTGCTCACACCATAAAAGATGCTTAATCTGCTATACAAAGTACCTCATTTATTATGTGGTTTGCCCTTAATTACACATTCCTGACAGAGAAGGCTGATGAAAACATATTATACTTGTGCTCCCGTATCACCAATGACTCTATTACTTCACACGCACCATGCATGACGCTTTTTATCACTGTTGTATCCTGTGGGTTTGGGAAGGGCACTCACTGCAGAAAGGAACCTTGCCAGGGGTCTGCCCCCATACCCAGAAGTGATGGGAGTCAGGATAAATCCAATATTTATATTTATTGGTGAACAACAGATCAACAGCTCAGCTCAGCACAGCCACTAGGCCTTGCTACACAGGTGAGACCAAGGCTCCCAACTAGTTCCCACTGAACTATGGAGGAAACCACACCTAGAAAGAATGGTTTCTATTGCAGACCAGGCATGTCTCTTAGAAACAGGCTGCACAAGCTACACCAACAATGCCCAAAATGGCTTGGGATCTGCACACTCTCCGGACTGTACAATCCATCACATAAGCCAATCCAAATGTCACAACAGGTCGTCTCAGCAGAGAACATTTTTTCTGGACAGAACTTGCTTGGGTTGGCTTCAAACAGCTGCAGTGCATGCTTCCAGCTGTGTGCTTTTTAGTATTCATTTTTATATTTTAATGAGTATCTTATTGTTATGCTATCAGCTTGATGTTGGTTTATTCCAACCCTGGGTCCTTGAGAAAGAAAAATAAATATGTTGAAAAATGTACTTATATTGTATTTGGACTGTGGAACCTTGGGACTACATTTCCCAACAGCCCCTGCTGACTTAGGAAAATTCGCTTCCTAAAAGAGGAGGAGAGATTCAAACTAAAGGACTACAGCATGGAGCAACTGTGATGATTGGTGAAGCAGCGGGGGGCGGGGGGACACGGGACTTGGACATGGAATAGAAGATCCTAGTGAGCAGTCTGGAAAGATAGGTAACTCTGGGATTGTTGCTACGCAAATGTACCCTGTAAGGAAAGGAAAGGAAGGCCCAGCAACAGAAGCTGTGCAGGACTAGGGCAGTGGCATACTTTGGACTTTTCATTGGCCCCCTGGGTGACACCAAAATTCACCCCCACTGACTCTCACCTTCCACTGTTCGTCATTGTTGTATGCCTACAGCACCTTCTCAGCTCGGCGCCCAGTGTGGGCAAACCAGTCACGCTCCCCTAAATCCATCTCTGAGCACAGTTCTGCTCAGGTTGCATTTCTGTGCTACCCAAATCATCACTTATCTGTTAGCTATGTGGGTAGAGTGGGTGGAGCTAGCATGCAGGAGCTAGCAGTTAGCTATATTCGCAGTCACCTTCAGTAGCATAGCTTAGCTGCGTTGAGACAACTCACACAGCATGTGTTTGCCAACTCCACCCCAGCATCTGCATGCATGCTAGCTCCATCCACTCCACCCACAGACTTTCCACATTGAACAGGAAGATCTGCACAGGGATCCCAATTCCATGCATCACCTATGCACATATTTGTACATGTATCAAGACCCTATTTCAGACATTTGTCCTACTTGTGGTGGGGCTGTGACGCAGCTCACTTCCCGCTTGCTCCATGTAAACTTAAGAAGGTCTAAAGAGGCATACTGATTTCCCTCTCCTTTCCCTAGATGACTCTTCTAGATCATCACCTAAAAACCATTCAGCCAAAGTCAGGATGAGGCCAGCTCCTGATAATTTTTTAAAAAATCAAAATGACTGCTGTTGAGCAAGTGTTGCAGGTTTGCATTGTAATGTATGCGAATTCCAAGTAACTAAAGGCTCAAGGTGGGTGCATTTGAAAAGTAATTCTTTCTGCAGTATACTTCAATAGGATCAGTAGCTCAAAACAATACAGTCTCTCCTGCTTATGTAAGGTGCAATGATTTATGTTTCACCTATTTGTTGCCAATATGAGAGGTAGTATGATTGCACCAATAACCTTAAATCAGTCCACTTTTATAACAGCAAATCAATTGCTATGAGATACTGTTCAAACTTGTATGGATTTTCCCCCATCTCCTTATCACATATTATTTATATCCTTTCCTATGAAGTGCTCGTGGCAGATAGAAAAGCAGCAAACATCCCTTTATTTCAAAATATATATTTTTTAAAATGCTTGGCAGCAGAGGAGAGAGTGTTGCTTACATAAAAGATTTTTATTGGCTTCTCTTCACTGTGTATGAAGTTTCAGGGGAAGGGAAAAATCAGGAGGGAAGAAAGGAGGATTTCTTTTTATGGTTTTGTAATATCACAATATAACATCATTACATTATTCATTCTGTAATATCATATTAATGAAACACTTTTGGGATTCATATTTAAGAGTAGAATTCGTTCCAAAAGTACATTCAAATGTTCCTTTTTAAATAATTAAAAGCTGCCCCAAACATGATGTCAGATTACATTCATGTGTATATATAACATAGTTGCAATTTCTTCAACCATTCGAGCCATATATACTCTAGTTAATAAGTAATACATAAAGCTGAAATATACCTGGGTTGTAACATTCACTTCATTTTACTGCTCAAGTGTCCTGTCAGCTTCATAGCAGTGGAAAATCCCCCTTCCTCTGTTTCTTTCCACACTGCCACTCATTTATTCATAATTCAGGTAGCTCTGGCAAGTCTTGAACCAGCAAGCTCTTCCTGCAGGAAGATACTAATACTAATATTTGTATTGGGAAAATTATTCCCCCAAGCACAAAATACACATCCATAGTGTAATTTGCAAATTGTGTACATGTGGATAAATTGCAAATGAAAAAGATAAGGTCCCTCTTCTCCTGCCTCTTGGAGGTATAAATCACAGCATTCATGGTACATTAGCGCCATCCATAAATGACACTACAGAAGCATATTACATGCTTGGAAATTAGTTTCTCAGTAGTAGTTGTCTTGGGGATAGGTTATTCAGCTCTCTCTGAGAAAAGATAGCATGCACTTCCCCCCTCTCAGACTTCCCATCAGAGAGAGATAAGGATAACATATATCCAAGAAAACGAGAAACTTCCTGGGCCATTCTTCAGTCCCAAGCCTCCACAGGAACATAGGAAGCTGACTTACACTGAGTCAAAATATTGTTCCATTGAGCTCAGTATTGTCTACACTGACTGGAAGCAACTCCCCATGGTTTCAGACTGTGGTCTCTTCCAACCTTACCTGGGACCATCTGTAGGCAAAGCTGATGTTCAACCACAGAACTATGGCTCTTTCCCAAAATTATGATACTGCTGAAATTTCATCTCTGGACACATAACTCCCTTTTGCTGCTGCTCACTGCTTCATTCCAGTCCTGTGAGAGTTTCTGTCATAGCTCCTGGCTTTCCTGAACCAGAACAAACTTCCAACTTATCCATAATCCACCTTCACCATGTTGCAACACTGCAGTCCAGAAGTTAACTAGAGCAATGAGTAAAATGACCAACTTATCTCTGTCCAAAAGAGGCTAGAGCTGGTGAACTAGCTTAAGCTAGAAAGAGGCACTCCAAACCACTGAGGCCACCTGAGCATCTGTCTCCCTCTTATGAGGATTCAG